AGGAAGGGCAGATCCAGAAAAGGTCACCCGAAACGAGTCTGTAGGGGTAAAACTCTTTTTACCCTCGCTGAGCGATACTGACTTCATTCTATGAACGGCCAGTATCTTTACCGGAGGAAGCAAGGGGTTCTTGAATCGGCCAACCGCTTGCTTCTCCAGTATCTCGGGGTTCAGACTCGCCTCAGTGACCACGCCTTCGATCTCCACATCAGAGGCTGGAATGTACACCCTATATTCCAGTGTGAAAAATTGGGAAACAGCAATTTCATTGGCCTGTTTCAGGTTAGCGACGGTCACACGAAGTTTGTTGTGCCTAACCTTCGTTATTTCGGTCACGGCAGAGAATCGCTTTGTCAGATCATCAGATATCTGAACAACATTCAAGGGTTTGTTTTTGGGCTGAAAATAGACAACCCATGGGCCAGTCGAGTCATTCGGGTAGGCCCGCAATCTGGTGCTTTTCTCAGCCTGCCCATCGACAGACTGAGACGACGAACCAGGGATGACATCATCATTCTTCTGAGATGAATGGTCATCCATGTCGTCTTCTGACAAAACATCCATTTTGTTCAACTAGTGGGAGCGCAAAACGCTCTCCCACTGAACGCACAGACACAATACACAGAAAACACTACAAACACAGAAATACAAAATGAAAATTTAACTAATGGGGGAGTAAAAGAAACAAGAAAAAAACAAAAACTTATCTGATAATCCTATACTACTACCACCGAGCGTTATATGTGTAGGCGTTTACACAGATGGCTGGGAAGCGACGCGCAGCGTGGATGACCTTCGCTGTGGTGCACTTGATCGGGGCGCGGCACTCAGCGCACACAGGCGCACGATGAATGATAAACGATATAGATGTAGAAACGGGTGCTCACACTCGATGATGATGATACGTGAGCGGGTATGCGTAAGCGCGTATGCGTGACCACGCAACGATGATGCCCAAATTTGTTTGCGAATTTTCAATAGCACGGATTAATCTTTCCGAAAATGACACTTTCTACTAAAAAAACTCACTTTTCGATCAATTTACCGGGAACTATGCCAGGAGTCACTTAGTGAGAAAAAAACTGATAAATTATATCAAGCGAATACCGAAAAAACTTCCAAAACAACGGAGCGCGAAACAAGTCGACCGTACTTCTTGCTAGGACGCAGTGGGATGCCTATGTTGAGTTGGTTGCATATGTTATGATAGTGTTGTAAATTTGTACTAGTGCTTACTTTTTTGTATAATTTGTGTGCTTTCTGCTTTTTGTTCTTCAAATGTTTTAGTTGTGGATTGAACGAAACTAGCAGTTAGTTGTTTTGTGTTCACCTTCTTCCTTTTGTTGGTACGGTTTCTGAAATTAGGTTCTGAACAATTCTCGATGAACATTTCAAATGGTCCTATCTGCTTTGATCGATTCTCTTCATCGACTTTCTCTTTCGTCAATAACTCAGCTGCAAAACCTTTCCCTGTTGTATTTGACGTTGTGGACGCTAGATAAGAACCTCCTTTATCAAACTATGTGGTAGAATTAACACGAAATCTGTTTGCATAGCAGTGGTTATGAAAAGAGAAAGTCGATTAAGACTAAGAGAATCGATCAAAGCAGATAGGACCATTTGAAATGTTCATCGAGAATTGAATGAAATCTGCCAACATCAGTGTCGACATTTCCTTCAATACTTATTATATTTTGATAATTAATTGTGCATAGTCTACGTTTGGCTTCTTTGTAATTTGCTTTATGATATTCCGGCACTTCCTCGAACTCCCAGTCGCTGGGGGAAGAAGTATTTTGTATGAAGATTGAATATTCAATTGCTGAGTGAAACACTTAATTTTTCCATAAAAGTGATAAAGTCTGGATCGTGCAAAAATTGGTCAACCTCAAATTAGTGTATTTCTGTTAAAAATTCATAAAAAATCTGAAATGCTGCATTTGGAAGTTGAGTGAATATACAATGGTTGCTATGATGAGTTTTCACCGTTTGCTCTCCAGTTTTCAAAATGACGTCCAAGCAAGAGGAGCAGCGTGTCAAAATTTTGCTCGCGCAGCAAGAGAATCTGACGTTCTCATACGCCAAGTTGGCAAAATTGCTGGATGTGGCCAAATCGACCGTGACAAACGTTTTAAAAGTTTTCGGGGAGCGTCTGTCGACCGCCAGGAAGTCTGGAAGTGGCGGCAATCGTAATTCGGACATGGTAGCGACGACGAAGAAGGTGGCGGTGAAATATAAGCGAAATCTTAACCTTAACCTTAAATCTTAACCTCTCCATCTGGGATGTCACTGGCAAGCTCAATGTCTCCCATACTACTGTGCAGCGGGCCAAGAAACGAGCCGGGTTGTCGACGTTTAAGAAGGTGAAGGTGGCGAACCGAGATTACAAACAAAACACGTCGGCAACATTTTTTGTTTGACCAATTTTTGCGCGTTCCAGTCTTTAATGATGTACACACTTCAGTACAATTTGATATTTTGTCAAAGAGAAATTGTTATGTTTCGTCATCACCTACGATTGGAAGCAAAAAATATTCGGTTTCAATGTCTGTGATAAAGTCTGCATTGCGTTAGTTGAAGTCGCCATACATATGCAGTTTCCATATTTGACATAGTAGTTTCGACAATTTGGAAAAAATATTCAAAAGAATGTTTGTTCGCATGTTCAGGTGGGAAATACACAGAAGTAAACATGTGTTTCATCAGCAATAAGTGCTTTAGTCCAGATATGTTCAAATTCTTTGTGCTTATTAGTTTGCATTTCTTCGATAGTAAAGTCTGCATTTCTTTGGAAGTAAAGTCTGAATTGATGGCAATGAGAACTGCACCACTTTTTCTTACAAAGATGCAGATTTCGGTCGTGCCGGAATATATTATTTCCAAAAATGTCTTCGCTTCTTACGCTTTCGTCCCAGCTAGTAGAGACCAGTATCACATTAGACACATCTGGACAAGTTCTGGTCCACCTTGGGTAGTTACCAGTTCATTGAAACCCTTCATTCAACACATTAAATCATTACGTAAGAAGGGTCAGATCTCACCATAGGTGGATTAATTTAGATGTTGTTTGTTCCATTTTGTTCCTCTAACTGATGGTTAGGTTTGGATCCCAGAGTAAATGGTTTGAATCCTGGTTGTAACTTTTTTATTTGCCTTTTGCTACTTTTCTACTGCATTCGCAGCTGGGAGCAAATTCTAAAGCTTCTCATTTAAAGAGCACATTGAGGAAAATAACTTTTATCTAAGCGCACCACTCTTTCTCCGTTTCGTTTTGTGTTTGCCTTAATGTGAAATCGTGTAATCGTTCTCTTCAATTTGATAAGATTTGCTCTTTGCGCTCAATTTGTGAGGAAATAACAAACCTGGTGCCCATTTGAAGCCCCGTTGAAAAAAGTATGGGCCAGCAGGGTTGAGATTTGACAGACTTTCGCGCGATATAGACCAAATTGTTTTTCACATAGCCACTGATTGACATGATCCTCAAAAAAACCTTTGTCTAATTCTTATTAATTTTTCGTCAATGACAAAGATTCACCTGGTAACAAAAAGTGTAATTTCGTGCATTTTAAGTCACATTATTGTTATCCAAGCAGTTCAGGACGTATGTACATGCTTGTTCACTTTAACGTGATTCCTTAAAGTGGCTGATATGCCTTATCACTTCAAATTTTCTCTGCAAGAAACGTGGAGTTCCAGCTTCATAGTTGTATGTATTGTGAGAACTGTTATTTGCCCTCTTGAAATTTCGAGGTGATAATGAGATAAATCAGAGGGGTTTCCACAGCGATTCACCTTAACGGCTCCATGTAATTGTTTTGCTCAAGTCATTTAATTTCGTTTCAAAATCTGCACATGTTCGTCACTGAGAGCATTGTCACTGAAAATTGGCATGATTTGCTTTGACGATGGGTGTCGCATGATGAGTGTTGTTTCAATTCAGGAACTGGCCACTTCGATGGGAGCACCCGGATCACATCTGAATTTGGCCAATGTGGTCCTGGGCATTCAATATGACCATGATTGTTCTTGTTTCCGAATTCCCATGTGATTTGAGGCTGAAAATGAACTAGCTTTTGGCTAAAAATCTCGTCAATAAAGTATTTAAAAAAGTGAAGCATGATTGGTTTTGGTTCAAGTCAGGTGATCAATTATACTTCTAATTGATTTTCAACTTCTTATCTGTCCTTTGTTCAGTTGGATTGAACGATAATCTATATAGGGGAAATGGCTCTAATGTTGACCTATGGATCTAAGATTGGGCCCATCCTTAAAAATTTGATATTTATCTATTTTATCTAGTAGACGAAAGCGTCATTGGGACGGTACTAACGCATATTTTTGGTCACTATTGAAAATTTAGTCGATTGCTGAATTTATGTATGGGCCCAAATTAGGAACATTTAGGTCGACATTACATCCATTTCCTCTACAATACATGTTGGCTATAGAATACGTAATTAATCTTCTTGAAATTAATTTCTACATTCTTTTATAGATTAGCAGATCAATCTCAGAGGTTGGTGCTAACTGTCATGACCTGATTTTCAATCAACAGCGCTACGCAAAAAATCTCTAATCGTTCATTTCATTTCATCTTTAGATAGGGATATATAGCTATTGTTTGCCTGTATTTTCAACTGTTACCGACTAAAGAATTAATACTAACTTATGATTATCGTTTCACGTTTGCTGTACAAACTACGCAGAAGATGTCAGGTACTATACGTTTAATTGATTTCAACTAATAGTTCAGAGGAAATAAAGCTTTTTAAGTAATTAGAGTAGGCTAACCATGCAGTGATGAGTTCAGTGCAACAAAACAAAACCTTCGGGCTCAATGTGATGTAGAGGTAGCTATACAAAAGAACTATTGCCAATCCAGAGAAAAATTAGTATCGCATTTGACAACCGCAGCACTGGATTGGCAATAATAAACAAACATGGACACGGAAACAGAAGCTAGGTGCAATATATGCGGGTAGGTAGGGACAAAACGTTACCAGGATTGCTTGGTAGACTCGAGCTTCAAACATATTTTGCTGAGTGAAAATTTCAGAGATTAGTTTTGGCTTCATTGGTTACTTGCAAGATGGTTTCTGGGTTACGTGAGTCATACGGCACTCCTTAGTACCCTTGGTTGGATTCCTTCCGTAAAGGGAGTAAACTTAAACTTCCAGGGCACCTAAGTTTGGGTCCAGGAGGTAGTCGACTCATACGAAAAGAACACGCGAAGCAAAACTGAATAGGATGAAAACCAACAGCAGCAGCAAGTAAAAGAAACACTTCACAACCTGTAGACAAACTGATCTCATTTTGAATCCTTCACTGGTAATTGATAATAGTATCCGCCTTTGTTGAATGGGGACGACTTCACTTGTTCTTCTTATTGTTCCTTAGTGTTGGTCACAAGGAAACGCAGTAATTAATCTCTGGCGTCTGTGATTTGATTTGGTTTTTTTAGTAGTACTTTAAAAACAAATTTGCAAGAATTACCGATCATTTCAATCGTTATCGAACAGTCGTTGCCACACAGATTACAATTAACACTATTTAAACTCTTTTCTCGATCAATGCAAATAAAAACACAAGCACTTTCTTCGCTATGACTAAACGCTACGCCAAAACAAATTTTGTTAATATTATTTTCATGAGATGTCAAATTTGAAAAATTGATGCGGTTTGACAGTTCAAGCGCGCGTGCTATAATTTTTTATGGCTGTGTGTACCTCAATCTAGTACTTCATACACGGTTATTGAGAACAGCCCAGAGAGGGAGAGTCACTTCTAGCTTCTACTACTTCTACTCAGTTTATGAGAATTTTTTTTAAATACAAGCACTGAGTTCCTGTAGGTTCCATAAAAGTGACTCTCTCTCTCTTTGGTTCCAAACATCAACAAACCATCGTTGCTTATGGCTTTGTATGCTATACTATAGTTGTTTGGAGCCAGTTTTGCGAGGTATGCGACGATTATTCATATTTGACAGTCATCTCCCCCTCCCAGGCCCCTGCCACAAATGGCTTCGAGAATACACATATCCATCGGTAATCAATCGTGTTTTAATTATAATTATAAAACCTATAGAGTGGGTCTAGTATAAGAGAGGAGTGAATTCCAAACAAACTGACTTGGTAGGTGTTTTCTAGCAACACTGTCAATGTAATCAAGATAGCCCTAAATAAAATTTACCATAAACGAACGATAACCCAAATAATTGAACTATTCCATAAATTCTTTGGCTGCTATACCGAACACGTCGTTAGGAAAATTAACCATAACATTTTTGTTTAGGGAGGCGCTTTACGATTGGCTCTGACTTTGACAGTTCATTTGGCTCAAAACCAGCCAGTCCGCTCTTCTGTTATAGTAGATTCTCTCTAGTCTTAATGACTTCTCTATTTGTTATAAGATTTTTTTATAAATGTTAAAAATTCCTTAATAAGATTCTAATGTTTTTTATAAGATCTTCCATTGAATGCTATCACTACACGTCCATGTCCAACGCCTGCTTAAGCCTACATTAATTAGACCTGCATAAACACTTTAATGGTGGTAAACTCCAACTCGGATTAACTTTTAATACCGTTCCTGTTTAGATGATCTGCAAAAAAATTTGCTTAGAGTCGTATTGAATAACTCTGATGTTGACATCAAAGCAGCCAAACATTCTTGATCTGGATTTAATCCAAGAATAATACCGGTTTGAGCGGATAGAAGAAAGCAACTGGCAGCCTAGTGTGATGAGAGCATTGAGCGTTCTGCTAAACGTTATCGATTTTAACAGCGAGGTAGAAATGTCTTGCAAGAACCTAATCTTTAACAAATTATATTTTATTTAAGGAAATTGAAATATAATGCAATCCATCTGATTAAATTTAAAATTATTTACATTTATGCAAGCCTTCAGAAAACAAAACGGACATAGCATTGTGAGTAGCTGAAAGGATCGCCCAATCATGTGTGTCTCTGCTTTCCTGTTTTATAGCGAAGTCTAATTAGAGGTACCAGGCAGCGTTGCCAGATATACCGATTTATCGGTATTTATGCCGATTTCCAAACTAGATACCGATACACAGAATACCGATTTTTAAGATTTTATACCGATTTATACCGTTTTTTATAAAGAATCAAAATTATTATCATAGAGGTAACTCTAAGACAAAAAGGTCCCGAAATAACGTACTCAACTTTTTGGCTCAGCTCTGGTACTCGCTTCGGTCCCAAGCTAAACGATTCACCCCTCGAAACATAGGAAAAACCAATAACCCCTCATTTTATCTGTCAAACTTTTAAAGCGAATCAAAACAAACATTGTGTAGTACTAGAATTTCGACTAGAATGGGGTACGTTAATCGTTTGCTTGGGACCAATAGGCTAGTCAAGTAGTGAGCCAATTTAAAATCGTTAGTTTCGTATTGATTGTTGCTATAGCTTCATACTCTTTCGACTAATGTTTTCATTTCCTCACCGTTTTTGGCTGCCCATCAATCGAGAAATAGTCGATGGCTCTTTCCGGTAATTTTAAACATTATTTCACTTCCGGAAGTTTTTATTCATTTTTAAACTTCCTGAAGTTTCATCCAACAGAATTTTCTTCCACCTAACTTTGGAAGCTTCTTCAGCCTTCGCTCGAATTATTGTTTCATCTTCTCCCGCCAGTTTTTTTTTTAACTTTCCCGGAGCTTCAAGGATGCTATCAGATTTTTATTGCGGATCCACTAACTGCATGCACATTTAAGAAGTTCTGAAACTTCAGAAAAGTCCAGGCGTTAGTATAAGTTTCGATAAATTAAAGACAGTTCATTAACTTCTGTTAAAATTTGAAAACCAGGAATTTTCAGAAAAGTCCAGTGAGCTCCAGTGAACTTAAGGAAACATCATACATATTTTGGAAACTTCACGAGTCCAAAGAAATTTAATGGTTTTCAGGAACTTTAGTGAAGTTCAGAGAACATCAGGATTGATAAATTAATTTCAATGAAATTGCTGATATTATAAAGGAGTTCCGAGAAACTCAGGCAATTTCCGAAAACTTCAGCAATGTCCTGCAAATTTAGGAAACGTAAGAAAAGTTACATGAACATTAGATCATTGTGAGAACATTTTATGGGAAGTTCTATGCTTTTTAATGGCAGTGTCGATAACTTTTAAAAATTAAAAAATTGGGAAGATCAGAGAACTTCAATGTTGATGTTACAATAAATTCAAGAAAATTGTGAGAGCACTTAAGAGATTTCGTAATCTTCAAGAAAGTCCAGAGATCTTCTAAGATGATTAGGGATATTCCGGCAGTCTTATTATAATCAGGGAAGTTCCGAGCGCTTCGAGGATGGCCAGAGAACTCCAAAACAGCCTCTAATTTCAGGAAAATTACAAGAACTTTATTATGGAATATTCTGAAGTGTATTTCAGGAATGTTCTGAAAACTTCAGGGAAATTTCTGAGTCTTCAGGGATGTTTTTTGAATATCAGGAAAATTTTCTGGATCATTAGAACATCCTCCAGGAATCTCTTTCTTCCAGAATTATGTCCTTGTTTCTTTCGACTGTTCCGTAAGCGTTCTGGCTTCCGATTTTCTTGAGATGTTTCTTCCAATCTACATTAGGAAGTTTCTGCCAGCGTATCCAGAAAGTTTATTTCATCTTCTCAAGGAAGTTCAATTAATTCTCCCAGACATTTCTTTCGTCTTCTTCTGGAAGCCAAAGGTTTTTTTGTTCGACTTCTATTGGAAGGTTTTTCCGAGCATCCTCTGTATTTCTCTGGAAATGGCTACTTCTGGAAATTTACTTCCGATTTCCGAAACTTTTTTGGCTTCCTTTCGATTTTACATCCGATTTATTTCCGATAGTTTATTTAAATTTTCGCCACAAGTTTCTCAATTCGTGTCTCGGAAGTTTCCCAGAGGTTTTTCCAGCTTTTCTCTAACTTCATCCAGGAGAGCTTCTTTCGTCTTTCTCTTGATGTTTTTTCAGCTCCATTCAGAAGCTCATTCAAACATTCCCCGGAGTTTTCTTCTGGAATTTTCCGATCATAGTTCAAAAGCTAAAATGTTGCTTTGATTAACGGCTTTCTCACTCTTAAAACACTGCAACGACTACGATGTAATCTGCCCGAAATTTCGGCCATAGTTTGTGGCTTTTTTCAAGGAAAAATATTGTTTGTCGTTATTGTCAATAGTTTAGTCGTTGTTGTGGCTGATTTTCCATATTTTGGTTTCAATTAATGATATTTAATTGAAAAAAAAAACACTACTTGGTCACAATTTTGATCAGCACTTGAGTGCAACGATATTAAAAAAAAATAAATTAAAAAATTAGAGAGTGTTTTAAGACTGAGAAAGCCGTCAAACAAGGCAATTCCCCTCAAATCACTGTCGTCACCATGGTTAAAATTGTCGCTTTCAAAAACGGCAAAAAAATACCGATTTTTTAACACCTTTGATACCGATAAGCTTTAAAACAATCTGGCAACGCTTGCTTCCATTGCAGCAATGGACGCAAAATGTGGTCAGCACTCACACATTCATTACGAAACGGTTGCTTTCCAAAGTCGACGACGCATCGACTGAAAGAACTGCTGATGAAGAACAATGAGGAGGACCACAAAATCAGCGTTGCTAGACATACCAATTAATCGGTATTTATACCGATCTCCGAACTAGATACCATTATACAGATAAGATCCCTCTGAATACCGATTTTTGAAATTGTATACCGATTTGAACCGATATTTTAAATGATCAAAATTATTATTGCCTACCCGCTCTCGAATTTTGGAGAAAATTACTTTTAGAGACTTGTATCTTTTTGAATAACCTAAAATTTTGGAGCCCTCAAAATTCTTAAAAAATCATCTTTGGAAATGTCATATGCTTGATACTCTTTTGACTAATGTTTCCATTTCTTCACCGTTTTTGGCTACCCATGAATCGACGTCAATGGGTCTTTCCGGTTATTCCTAGGGAATCGCGAAATACTTTTTAAACATTATTTAACTTCCTAAAGGTTTTGTTAATTTTTTACTTCTTGAATTTTCTTCCAACTTTCACCTGGAATTTTCTTACACCATAACTTTGTTTCGATTCCTTCCGAAAACTTATTTCAACTTCCCTTGGAAGCTTCTTCAGCCATCGCTCGAGTGGTTCTTCCGTCTTCTCCCACCAGTTTTTATTTTCAACTTTCCCTGATCTTCAGGGATGTTTCCAGATTTTTATTGCGGATTCACACTAGCTGCAGGAACTTTTAAGGAGTTATTATTATTATTTAGCTTTATTTAGGAGGCTTTCAGCCTTAGGCTGGTTCGCCTCCATTTTAAGAAGTTCTGAAACTTCAGAAAAGTCTAATTCAAGATAGTTTCATTGTCTTCTGTTCAAATTCCAGAACCCGAAAATTTCAGGAAAGTCCAGCGAACTCCAGTGAATTTATGAATACATCAGAAATATTATGGAAACTTCACAAGTTCAA